TGACGTATGGCACGCCTAGAGACGATGCCCAAGACAGGATAAATCCTAGAGAGAAATTGCTAGAAAGTGCATTATGTATAATTTTGTGTGCAAGACATCTCCTAGCTCCGATAAACGCTTATCGAAGCCCCGAGATCATATAACACTAAAAATAGAACCATTGCAACCATGACTCAAAGGGCTTTGAATTGAAGTAAGATTTTCTCGAGCTGAAGGCCAGGAAGAAATTGAACCGAGGCTCTCAAAAAGGTATCATTTTCGATCACCAGAAAACCATTTTTTGACAACTTCCAAAATTCATAAAGTGATCAATCGGGTCAAAATCGCATAATTTTTGTTGCAAAACGATCACAATGATTTTCTCTTATATTGGCGACCAAAAAGAACACCAAAGACGTGACGGAGCAAGTTAGATCGGACGTTCAAGAATTCAAGTCTTTGTATTTTGCCGAAATTTTGAAACTATGAGCAAAACTCCATGTCAAGATGCAAAACATATATCAAAATGTTCCTCTCAGGATGAACTATTTTTCACAATGATGGATCGCCTAAAACGTCGGCGGATTGCAAGGGAGAAGCCCCCAAACCTTGTGAATGGGAAAAGACCCCTTTTTGGGAACCTATTTGTCATTTTCATATTTTTCTAGGTGTAGAATAGGTCATTTTAGAAAAATCTGAAAATTGCTTTTAATTCATTTTAATTCTATTTTCTAACTATTAGGTTAACTTTTGAATTTGTTTAAGGGGTACCTCTATATAAGCAAATCACTTGTGATTTGTAATGGTTAAGCATTTTTTTAATCAATTTGACCCAAAATTGAATAGAAGGCTTCCTTGCTTAAAACCCAAGAGAAAAAAAATTTTCCCTTGAGAGAAATACCCGTAGATTATATGCCCTACTCCACTAAACTGTACATCCTACTCCCTTGGACCATACATCTAACTCCACTAGATCATATGCCCTACTCCACGAGACCATGCATCATACTCCACTAAACCATACACCCTACACCCTTAGACCTTAGATGCTACCCCCTTGGACCATACACCCTACCTCATAAGTCCTACCGCAACCTATACCTCTCCTTTCTCTCTCTCTCTCTCTCTCTCTCTCTCTCTCTCTCTCTCTCTCTCTCTCTCTCTCTCTCTCTCTCTCTCTCTCTCCTCTCTTCTCTCTCCTCTCTCTCTCTCACACTGTGCGAGACGCTACCGGTCTCTCTCCTCCCTCTCTTTCTACACCGACTGCTAGCCGTCGTCTCTCTCTCTCTCTCTCTCTCTCTCTCTCTCTCTCTAATCGCCACTCCTTAAGAAGGCACATGCATTGGTTAAACTTCGACTTAACTCCCAATGTGGATCACATTTGCCTAACCTTTGGGGTACCTAGGCCTAGTGCTTATGACCTTTCTTAATCGCTAATATCACCTCTTAGGAGAGGTGATACCATAATTGTCTGTATGGTCTTTCAAGGCCTTAAAGCCACGACTCTTTCGCTCATTGGGAGTAAGAGAGAGAGAGTGAATCTGGGTACTTAGCGCACTAGGATCCAGAATCTTATACCCTGAGTATATGAGGCATTGCGAGTTTGCCTTTTGAGAGAGTAATCTCTAGGGGAGGTGTGAGGGTCACCTTCGAGTCATGACTATATTGATTATGATGCCTCATAGTTGTGTTAGTTAGCCAAGGCTTAGAGAATCTAATCGAGTACAATAAAATTTGAGTGTTTATTATAGAGAGAATCAAATTGAGTGGTTTTGTAGTTATTTCCTAAACTATTGTGTAGAGAGAAAAAGATGTGGGTTTGAGTCCCACATTGAAGAGGATAGAGTTTATTGAGATATATTTAAGAGTCCACATTCACATGCATTTTACTCTTAATACAAAGGTGAGAGAGATGGTGCATGTGCGGAGCACACGAAGCGTATGTGTGCGTGTGCAAGGGAATGGGAACAAGGATGTTTGATGCCTTACTTTGTACTTCGTACGCTCGCATCGGTGCATGAAGCGCCCCTTGCCTGAGCATGTGTGCAAATCAGGTTCATGGTTGTTATCTTTTTGCAAGCCCACTCGTATGGGGCATCAAACGATCATCTAGCCGTTAATGAAATGGAGGCTAAAAAGAGTTTGTAACAGTAGCCATCATGAGAGTTAAAATGCATGTAACTTGTAGCCGTTGGTGATTCATGTAACCATCACTACAAGTGAGTTCAGGAGCTGTATGTAACTTGTAGTTGTTGGTGGTGCATGTAACCACTACTACAGTAAATATGCAGCCTCCTTATAGCTCAATAAAATGGGGCTTCTCTCCCATACGAAAGGATAATTTTTTAGCACACTTTTAAGCCTCTTAACGTACCTTTCTCTGCAATTCCAGCAAGCAAAACAGTAGTCTAATATCTCCCTTTCTACTCGTTTTTTTCTCTTTCTCTCTCTAATACATCAGGACTCTAGTGTCTAGTGTGTGGGTTCAACCGCGGGTGCATAGAGCTTAGGAACATTGAAAAATGCCTCTCTTTTTATTTTTCTGTATCCCGATGACAAATTGCCTTTCTTATGAATACCAAAGAAAGTATCAAAAGAGCGCAAATATCGTCTTGAGATAGCGCTCCGGTGTGCCCGAAAACAAGAAGAGTTTGAGATCTTATTTTTAGACTGTATCATTCTCTACCCCCATTTCACCCATCAAATTTCCAATAGTTGAATGGTTTCACACAAGGTAGGAAAGTCCTGAGCCCAACACTAAAAAATTCGAAGATTTTCCTCTTTCCAAAGATTCCGGAGGGAAGCGGCAACAACAATCATCTACAAATTAATACCCAGAGATGAAAAAGATGGAATCCAAAATTTCTGCAACAAAAGAGAAACATTCCCTGACCTAGGTCCTTGCCAGTTAGATAGACCACCTATCCATTCCCACAAAACATCCACGTAAGGGCAATGAAAAAAAATATGATCAATGAACTCTTCTCCTCCTTACAAAATAAACACACATTTGCGAGAAGTATCCTCCTTTTGCGCAGATAATCAATAGTAAGTAATATTTCAAAGAGCTATAGAAAGGTATTGACATGAAGGGGAATGTTACAATTCCAAAGCTGAAACCCTAGCTTGCTAACATTGTGCGTGAATAATGCACCACTGGCGGTTACACACTTTGAAAGACTGAAAGCCTCCATATCTTAACATCCGACGTCAAAATGCCCTTATTTTTAGCGGGCATCCGATATTAAACTATAGACATATTTTTTAGCATTCTGAAATCAAATCGTTTCCCATGTCCACCTTCTGTATGATAGTTCCGTGCATTCTGAAATCAAATCGTTTCCCATGTCCACCTTCTGTATGATAGTTCCGTGCATTCTGAAATCAAATCGTTTCCCATGTCCACCTTCTGTTTGATAGTTCCGCGTCATGCCTCAACAGCGGTCCCTCACCGACACAAACTCGTAAAGCTTGACATCCATGCGGTCACACGCCACGTGCTCTAGAAAATGACCCAAATAAATCATAAAAACACAAGGTAGTTTTCAAACAATTTATATAAGCAGTTAACAATACCACCAAATTCAGTTTGGATTGATGATTTAAGAAATGAAAATTGTTTCATGCAGGCTGAACTGCATGACTACATATGCTGTCCAAAACGTGTAAAGCATCCATTTTAAAGATAGATGCAAGTAGGTGTTGCATTTGAAAACAATGGAAACTAATGGTCGAATGTTTTCTTACTAGAATTGTTACTTTTAGTTTTAAAAATTTACTTTTTTTTTCATATTCATGTTTCCCATATCAGAGATTATATGTCCTTAAAAATTAAGTCCAAAAATCCACCTCAAAAATAGATTTACCATTTTTTTATAGGAATTCAGAAACTTTATTAAAAAGATACTAGAAAGAAATTACAGAATCAGAGACAAACATCTCAGATAAAGTTGTACCTCCTTGGCAAGATAAAGTTGTGCCCCCTCGGCAAGGAAATCTACCAACACATAGATAAAGTTATGCCCCCTTGGCAAATAAATCTACCAACACATTGACCTCTTGATAAACATGTACAAAAAGGAAATTAAAAGGTCTAAATAAGTGACTATAGTAATACAAATCTCAGCTCCCAAGGCAATTTTTGCTCCTCTAAACACCACTTGATAACATTCAAGTAATCACTTTCAACCACACAATGCCACAAAAACACAAAAAAGGACCATAAGTGAGCATAGTTTGTTGTTTTCTCTCCCAGATGACCTGCATAAGTGAAAACTACATTTCCATTCCAATCCCTCACCACTCCTCCAAACCCAACTAAACCAAGATTTTCTAATGAGCTGCCATCAAATTAAGTTCAAAGACCCTCTCAAATGTTGTACCCATCTCCCCTTAGAGCTTGGCTGTATAGAAACCGAGTCCTTAAAGATTTTTATAAGTATTTAACCATAAACAATCAAAGTAAGACACATCTAAAACGGTCTAGATTCTAGCAAGGATTTAAACATAAACCATCGAAGTAAGACACATCTAAAACGTGCCAAAAGACGCAGTATAAGTGTTTGTAATTGCCCACAAAATCAATTTTTATCCTTAATTACAAATTTTAAAATTCAAAAAATAATATAGATCAAATTGACCTATAAACACTTGAAAATCTTGAAAATTGATTATTTAGATAATATGTTATAAAATACACTACTGGCATGACTTAAAGCTTTTTTTTTTTTGTATTACACATCGTTGATCAATTGAAGAGTCGATCAATTAGGTGTTTTACAACGCCGGATAAACTTTTTTCGGTTGGTTTTTGAGGAGCACCTTTTATGGTATAGAGGTATAGAATCTCTTACTAAAAAAAGCTTAACCATTGCCATAGAAATGCTAAGTAAACGACAAAGTAATAAGCTGCATAGTGGACAACTGATATCCTTTTCCGGACTTCGTGTATATGAACCCACATCCCTCCATAGCCAGCTTTACTTAACCAAATTTTACTTTCATCATAATTACCCAAGAACTAAGGAAAAAAGAGCAATTCTTAGTGTAGTAATATTCCAAAAACACGGTATTCAAGCATTTGTTCAAAGTAAATCAAGCAGTAGCTCCATCATTTACATTTCGAAATAGATTTTAAACAAATTATCACAAACAAAACTCCGTAAATATCTTAGAAAACCCTCAACTAAATTCAACATTAGCCTACATGAAAGCATACTCTCATTCACCCCGTCAAGAATCCATAATAATATTAGCACGACAATACGGGCAGTCCCCACAGGTCCTGAGCCATGGGTCCAAGCAAAGGGCATGGAACCTATGCCCACAAGGCAAACACACCAACCCATCTCCAAACCTTAATCTCTCGAGGCAAATGCAGCACTCATGCACCAAGCTAATCCCCTCTTCCTCACTTTTCTTGGCCCCAAAAACTTCTCGTGACAATTTCGAAATGGCTTCTCGACTAAGTCCAGGAGGCTTCAATGAAGTGGGGGACTCTACTCCAGTGCCCACCTCAGAAAGCGAAACAGTCGCAATCCCCTCTGCGGAGTCTGTTTCAGTTTCCCAGTCTCCAGCATCAACAAACCGAAATTCATCACTGATTGTAGGATAGTAATCTGCACTCTCATGCCTGAGCAAAATAAAACACAGCACGTTAACTATGAGATCATTCAATCCTTTTTTGTGGGGAGGGGAGAGATAGAGAGAGTACAAACCTATTTCGAGTAAGAGACACCCCTCTCAGTCTCTCTAATAGCCTAGCCCTCGCTTGTAAAACAGCTCCAGGTAATCGATCATTTCGTACAAATCTAAACCTATTGCCTCTACTGCCAGAAGAATGTAGGCCACTATGGGAGCTTGAAGAAGAATGACTAATAGATGGATCTAGTCGTGGTGAATCCCTTTCCTGATAAAAAAAAAAAGTATTAACAATCAGATGAGCTATGCGAGTGAACAACACCATACACAAATTACTACAATTCATTTCCTGTGTATCAACTGTCAAAATCCACACATGAAACTGGATATACATATCTATGAGCGCCTCTCAACTAGTTATCAAACAGCAAAAAAGACTTCAAAATTTAAGAATTACAGGGTTCGAAAGAGTAAGGTTAATGTTTCAATTTTAATTAGCAGATAGAAACAGATTACAATAAGCTCTCCCCAAAATAGCATTTCCATCAAGGTACCGGGACTTGACTCTGCCAAGGTACTCGTCCATTGGCCGAGGTGAGTTACTTAGGCGAGTCCAAATAACTCTCCCGAGTCCAGCCCTAGTTATAAAAAAACAGAAACAACTTAGTTATGTACATATCACATATTAACTTTAAACATAAAAAACTCAAATGGCGCACCGGCTAGGTGGTGTGGGTCCTCAACAATTGTTGAGGGATCGAATTCTGCCAATGAAAAACATTTTGAACCCCATAGTGAACCCTACTTTTGCTAATAAGAAAACCCTTATTTTTTAATAAAAAAACATTTCTTGGTGTCTGAGGGGATTGGAACCCTGAACGGCCTATAGACTGTACATACTAGCCAAAAAACCATTTAGGTGCTGTTCGTAGTAAAATGGGTATACTTACTATTTACATAAGTGTACACCATACCCGACCTCGCCCTTAGGGCAGAGTCCAAGTAACTCAACTGGGTCCAAGGCGACTCGGCCGAGTCAGAAAGCAATGATTTTCATCATGCAAAATGTTTGAAAAAAATCTATAATCAGTAATTACCAAAAAAATAAAGGAAAAAAATCTATAACCAGTAGTTATCAATAAACAACATGTTTAAGCAGTAATCAAGTCCCACAAACCTAGGTGTTCTATGCCCAAAATACAATCTTCAGAAGGTATTGAGTTTTCCTAAGCTTATTACCTTGTCTTTATTCAGAATGATAACATTACATATATAGGTAATATTGCCCCCTTGTTAACCACATGGATGAAAATAGACAGAGTAACAAAAAAAGAATCCAATTTTTGCTCATCCTCCCAAGGGAGGTGGTCATTTGAAAATTCCTAAGACAATTGTATTACGATGCGTGCGATCTGGGCTCCAGCTTTCACTATTCAAACCTTTCTAAGCCATTTGCAACAATTGTTTCACATGGAAATCTGATTAAGGATACCCCACAACCATTAGTCAAAAACCACTATCTGCAGTGAAACAGACATTCGTTTTATAAGCATGGGCAATGCGCATCCCCATCAGTTCTGACAAAATGCAAACAGCTCCCTTTCTTAGAAACTGATTTCAACAACATGGGCAATGTGTTTTGGTTTAGATCATGTCAATGATCTCAACAACATATTCTTCTTGATGTCATCACATATTTTCAGCCCCTGAAAGTTTATCCGTTCATTATGTCAACATGTCATTTTATAACACTTCAAGCGAGTGATACTTTTCTTTTGATGGCAATACAGACTTGCAGTACGCAAGTCTATTTATTACATCAAGGGGATCATTTCAAGACACCGTGAGTATATATCTTAAATATGTATTATCTACAATTGGCTTATACTTGAAGTTTATAATGCAGTTAGTATTATTTTATTTACAATAGAAGTATCCACAAATTGGTACCCTATTTGGGTTGGTGTATCAAATACATCCAACAAGTGCAGGACACCAAAACTGTTAGTTACCAATACAACACAGACCAGGCATTTCTAGAGTACATTCTAACAAATTTGTAATGATGTAGAACACAAACAAATTTGTAATGATGTAGATGTTTTAACAGGACAGCGTTCATGCAAGAAAGACGACCTCATCACCTATAAACATGTACACATGAATTTGGGGATCCTTCATTATGTTTTGGAGATGATGGGGTTCACTATGAAATGGCAGAGTTGGATGACGCGATGCATCTCCATTGCCTACCTTTCAATAGTCATAAACGGAAGGCCCCATGAAATCTTTTTATCTTCAAGGGGAATACATCAAGGTGACCATTTTAGTTCATCTTTTCAGGAAATCCATCTCGAGGGTATATGATTCCAGTATGTTAGAGGAGTTCAATGCAGCTCAGGTTGGTCCTAGCAAATTCCACATATACTGTTTGGACGATAGCCTCATTTTTGCAACACTCAATATCCAACAAGTAGACAATATTTTCATTGTTCTTAAGGTCTTTCAAGATCATGACAAGGCTTCAGGTAAATATGGCCAAAACAAACTCAGGATTTTGCCTAAATAGGGGTAATCTTGAATCCCTAGCAGAGAAGTGGGGCTGCAGTACCGATTCATTGCCAAAAATACATGGGCCTTCCCCCATGATTGGGAAAACCTAAGAAAGCCCAACAGGATGGTACTCTAGAGAAACTTGAATGTAAATTCGCATCCGGCAAATGCTTATTCTTATCCCTAGGAAGTCGTGTTACTATCATTAAGGAAACTAAACCTAGCATCCCGATATAAAAGATGACCTTCTAGCATGCCAATGTCTGATCTTTCTAAAATTATAATGAGTAGTGAGGGACTTTTTGCAGATCTGCATAGGTGACTCAGGAAAGTTTCATTTGATGAAATGGAATGAATACAGAAAAACAAATAAAGAGGTGGGTTTGGCATCAGGAGGCTTAAAAAGTGTAATCAGGTAATATTGGCCAAGTGGTCAAAGCCATTGGCAGTACACGGAGACACCCTCTGACACTTAAGACATTCGCGACAAATATAATACAGAGAACACCAGTCGGCTACCCAGGCGCCCAGGTAATTCTCATACTTTCAGGAACCTGTAGGGGTATCAGCCTTTACAAAAGTCCTCAAATCACATTCCTTTTGAATCCAAAATAGGTGAGCGAGTTCAGGAGAGACATGTTAATTAGACAACAAATTCTTGAAGCCTGCTTCCCAAGTCTATTTTGTACGGTTCTGAATCAGGAAAGCCCTGTTGCTAATGTACTCAAATACTAGGGAGAATGTGTCTGGACACCACTAACTGAATAAGAACGACAAAGAAGCCACATACCTGATTGTGTAGTTAGAGAAGCTGAAAGTTTTCATCCTTCTCTGAGACAATAATAAAAATTGTCAGGACCAGAAGGCATCAGGCAAGCTCTCTGATGCCTCTCTCCCTAAAGGCCTCACGGATACAAACTGACCACCCTCAGGATCTAAAGTTCAAGCCATGATTGAAAGAGTGTGGTCTATCCCTGCACCCAAAAGGTACAGGCATTCATTCAGCTTCTTGTTTGCAACAAAATTCTCACCCTCAACCATACAAAGAGTAGAGGTACACTGCTAGACAATCTGGTGTGTCTTGCAAACGCAATGGGAATAAACTGTCAAACACTTATTGCTACATTGTCAACTCACCAAGAAAATAAGGTCGTAGTTTCTGGATTCTCCGGTTAGCAGTAGTTTACACCAATCCCTGGACTGTCTACTTAAGTACTCAGTGATCCCTCCCTTTCCAGCTTCGTATCTGCTACTATTGCAATTCCTCAGGCCCTCCTACAGGACCACAAATATTCAAGAGACCTGCTCATCAAAGTTAATTCAGAATACATTATTTCCAGGGCCAAGTGTTCCTCCCCTTGCCCTAAAAGGCTAGAGCACATTTTGTATCAAGTAGTAGACATCTTCCCAGATTTAGAGGATCAATTCATATGCAAACTAGAGAAGCAAACTCCTCAGGTGATGCCCTAGGAGAGGAGGAAGCGTCAAGACCATGACTTCTCATCAACCACCCAGTAGCCATCCCTATTTCATGAGGGAACTTTTGCGTAGCCCATTGGCTGTTCCATAACACAATTTTGTCGTCTTTAGGCTAATCTGAAAAATGACATGCTTTAGAGCATAATTTGCAATATTTTGAGTCACCAATATGGTGTTCATTATCAAATAGAAATAAAACTACTTCGTGTCATTTGCAGGTATAGTAATTAACTAAAAGTTCACAAATAATGGTTTTTTCCATAAGAAAAAATAGAACTGTTGGGCACGGAACCATATTCATGTTTTAACGCCCTAGCCTCTTGAAAACCATGGAAGCCAGCAACCAAATGCCTGATACCAACACCCTTCCTTCTAAAGAAAACTACATGAAGAAATATCAATAAAATATGAAAGCATGACAGGTGATATTCTTTTCCCTTCACACAGAATGGACCAGTCTAAAAGCTAGTGTTAAATGATCAAAGACCACAATTATTCCTGTCCACAATGGATAAATGACAGTGGTTGTTTCATATTTTCTACAAATGGAACATTTGATGTTAGTGCCACCAGACGTACGGGGATGGCCTGTGGGCTTTCAGGCTGGGCCAAGTATTGGGCCAGGTTCTGGCCTGAAAATAAGGTGCGCATAAGGGTTTTTTTATCCGAAATTTTCGGATCGATCTAAGTCGCACCAGATGATTATTTTTAAGAAAACAAAAAAATGGATTTTGAGTTCTTGAACACCTCAATCTTGCCATCTAGAAAATGGACGGCTCCTATTCAATCTTGCACCAGTATTTTCTGAAGAAACGATCATGACATACTGATAAGGTGTATTGGACTTTTTGACTGCCCGTCATACCAAGTTAAAAAAAAAAAACTCAAAACCTGTTAACTCAGGGAGCTTGTAAAGAGTTTCTAACAGATACCATTTTTACTATTTTGTCCTTATCCTTCTTCCCATTAAAACCTTATCCTTTCTTATTCATTCCCTGCCAACTCATCATAACAAACGGTGGAAAGGCCTTTAATGGTAACTAGCTGTCCAAAGAATAAATGCAAGGTGGAACCAGAATAATGCAAACGAGGTAGTTAGACCTCTAGTCTTCCTCCCCCCTTGATCACTTTTTGGAGGGATTTGACCACAAAACAACTCATGATGTCCTTCCACAGTCACTTCTCTATATCTTTACATTGGCAAACTTGTCTAAGAAATCTAAACAAGCAATCTAC